TAAGTGGAGGCCATCAAATAAGAACTTGGCCTACTTTCAAACTCGGGACTGATATTGCTAGTTCCCTCTTTGGAACCACCTCTGTGCTCTCCTCTCTTTCAAAACAGTTATGATGCCAAATGGGAGTGAATATGAAAGTCATGATGTCTTTTGCAATCAGCTAACCATGCGCTTTTCTGGGAGATACACTTAATTCCTTCATGTTAGTCAGTAAATATTTATTCATGGGTTGACAAAAGTAGGTTTATAGTTCTGAGTATGTAAAACAGTTTATTATTGTATTACTAGAGGCCTTGTGCATAGAACTCATACAGGAGGGGGTGTCCCTCAGCCTGGCCTGTGCCCTCTCCAATCTGGAACTCGACTCCTAATCACTCACCTGCCTGCCTGCCTGGTCACCCCTAACTGCCCCCCCCCTTCTGGCCTGATCACCCCTAACTGCCTACCCCTGCCAGACTTATTGCCCCCAACTGTCCCCCCTCGCTGGCCTGCTCTCCCTCAACTGTCCCCCCTGCCAGCCTACTCACCCTCAACTGTACCCCTGCTGGCCTGCTTGTCCCCAACTGCCCTCCCCTTCCAGCCTGCTCCCCTTCAACTGTCCCCCCTGCCAGCCTGTTTGCCCCTAACCACCTCTGCCTCCGCTCTGCCACTATGGCTTTGTCCAGAAGGTCTCCCAGTCTAATTAGCATATTACCCTTTTATTAGTATAGATAGAAGCCTGGTACATGGGTAGGGGCTGGCTGTTCTGCCCTGAAGGAGGTCTCAGATCAGTGTGGGGGGTTTTCTTGAGGGGCGTGGCTGGCCTGGGTGAGGGGCTGAGGGCCATTTGGGGGCAGTTTGCAGGCTGGACAAGCCCCTGGCTTTGTCCAGAAGGATGTCTGGAAGGTCTCCAGAAGGTCTCCCAGTCTAATTAGCATACTACTCTTTTATTAGTATAGATTATTATTTATTGATTATTATATTATTTATTATAATTTACTTACTTTTGTTTACCCCTGTATATTACCCGTTATATACTAGGCACTGGGTTAGGTACTGATAGGAGAAGCATTGGAAACACTTGGGCATTAGATTGTGTCTCACATTAAAAATATACAATTTAACCCTGGACGGTTTTTCTCAGTGGTTAGAACATTGGCCCATGGACCAAAGGGTCACAGGTTTGATTCCCCATCAAGGGCACATACAGTGGTTGCAGGCTTGATTCCTTGCCTGGATCAGGGTACATGTGGGAGGCAACCAATCAATGTATCTCTCTCACATTGATGTTTTTCTCTATTTCTCTCCCCCTCTTCCCTGCTTTCCATTCTCTCTAAAAATCAATGGAAAAATATCCCCGGGTGAGGATTAAAAAATCCAATCCAGTTACAGATATCAGACAATTACACAAGTAAAGCTGACCAATAGTATATAGTAATGAGTGATTGGTAGTTAAGTGAAGGGCTCCGTAATCTCAGAAGTGAGCAAGATAATTTTGCTGCAGGGTAGCTGGATAAATGTTAGTTCAGATTGGCATATTAAATCACTCAGGCACTTAGCAGGGCTTTGGGGAAATGGGGCACAGAACAAATCATTTTTTAAGTGGATGGTGATGTAGACTAAGTAGGGAACATGTTTACATCTCTCTGCTTTGGTATTAATTCACATGATGAATTCTTTCCAGAGAGCTCATCCATCCATACTCCACTGACCTACCCCACCTCAGAACTCCTATGCTTGGAATTCAGACTGCCAGGGAAGCAATACAGCCTAGTGGTTAAGAGGGTGTGTTTAGGCCTGGCTGGCATGGCTCAGTGGTTCAGCATTGACCTATGAACCAGGAGGTCACAGTTCGATTTTGGTCAGGCCACATGCCTGGGTTGCAGGCTCGATCTGCAGTGTGGGGTGTGCAGGAGGCAGCCGATCAATGATTCTCATCAGTGATGTTTCTATCTCACTCCCTCTCCCTTCCTCTCTGAAATAAATTTAAAAAAATTAAAAAGAGGGTGTGTTTAGGAGGTAGGCTGCTTGGGTTTCAATCCTGGCTATGATATTTATTGTGATCTTAGACAACTGACAATCATCCTGTGACTATATTTTTCTCATTGATAAAATGGGGATAATAATGATAGTGTCTATCTAACAGAGTTACTGGGAGGATTAGATAAAGTAAGTCATCTATGGTGCTTAGCATAGTGCTGATTGCATACTATTCATTTATAGAATAAATATTTATTGAGCGTATTTGATGTTGCAGACACTTTCCCAGTTTTGGAATACAGCAACGAAGAAGAGAGATAAGGTCCTTTTTCTTTTGGCACTGTATTAAATGCTGATGGAGAAGAAAGGGATTCAGGCCTTTTACTCAAGGAACTTTTAATCTAATGTTTTCCTTTCTGCTATATCAATTATAATTCTTAGTCTTCTAGTTATTGCTAAGCTTATTTTCATTTCTTTTTGTTTAGGAAATTATTGAAGCTATGAATTTCCTTTAAACCCAGGTTTGGTCATATCCCATAAGATTTGATGTTGCATGTTTTCATTATGAACTAGAGGCCCAGTGTATGAAATTTGTGCACAGGTAGGGTCCTTAGTGGCTGTCAGCTGCTGGCTGGGACCTCCCTTCATTCCGTGCCACCCACTGGTGGTCAGCACATGTCATAGCAAGTGATCAAACTCCTGGTTGGTTGAACTCCTGAGGGGACAGTGTGCATATTAGGCTTTTATATATATATAGCTATTTCACCTAAAATATTTTCTTTACAAGTTGTAAATCAGTTCATACCAATCCATCTCAGCTTAAGTGTGACATAAGATATCATTTTCAAGCCACAGTTTAGTCAATAATATAGAGGATGCCATTCATTTTTATGTAGTTGCAGATGGAGAATTCTTAAAATTAAAAGAAATTAGAAGTCTACATGAAAGAAGCTCATCAGAGAAAGACAAATGCCATATGATGTCACTCATATGTGGAAGCTAATGAACAAAACAAACTGACCAACAAAATAGAAACAGAGGGAGGGACACATGGAACAGACTGAAAG